ACTTGCTGATTCTACACAGATTACGCCGGACTTACTACCACCCTTTGGCCTGAGGACTTTTTCAGAGATGGTGCCTTCACTTACCTCTCACCAGGCCTTGGGGACTATAATCATGCATATTGCCAGAGTTCTGACAGTCCCCATGGCAAGACCCCTGTGCACCTCTGCTGGCACAAACTACAGAACTGAGTGCTGAAATGAGGTATGCTTGATCTCAGAAGATAGATGTTTTCCACCTGCTCAGCTACACCAAACACAGTGAATGCAGCTGGAGTGCTGGCAGAGAAATGCAGATTCAAATCTTGAGTACAGCACAAATAATGACACCTTTATGAAGTCTTTCATGTCTGCTAATGGCACCAACCGTACTGAACCATTCCCAGTTAGCTGCAGGGCACAGAACTAAGGTTGCATTGCAGGCGCAGTGTGCTACTTAACTTATTTCCTGGTTTTCAGAGAATTAAGTTTAATCAATCTCCAGGTTCTGGAAATGCATGGGCAACCTTAACTTAAAAACCTCAGTTTTTTAGACAATTAGTCGAAATTAAGTTGGCTACTTTGCACATATTTGTTCTTCAAACAGAAATATTAAAATATGATTTAACATCTCTGAATTATCTGTCTTCCATACATGAATAGTCAGAATTCATGTTACGCTAACAAAACCTGCCATCTTAAATTAACTCTTTAAAAAATGTAGGGAAGGAAACCCCTTCACCACCACACACTAGCCAATACCATTTCAGGCTTAGCTCCCTTCCTCTTCCTCCATCACATAGACAATGTTAATCTTTACATAGCTGAACATGCAAGTATTAAATACTCATCTTGCATTGTAGCAGCATCTAGATGCCTCAATCAGAATTGTGGCCTCACTGTGCTAGGTGATGTATGAACACATTATTATGGTAAGGATTCTCTTAGGCAGTGGTTCACAACTTTTTCCAGTAAGGAAGCCCAGGGTCATTTCCCAACTACCTGGCAAGTGGAATCCCCCTCTTGTTTCAATACAAGAAGGGCACAGTGGTTGTGACCTGTGACACCTATGTGTGAACCCTTCTGTAGCATCGCAACACCCAGATTGAGACTCCTTGGCCTAAAAAAAAAACTTTGCGGTGGGCTTGAAGGCTAAGTCATGGTGTGGCTACTTGAATGTGTGATTAGTGGAGCGACAGCATGCTTGCTACAATCTGCAAAGCTAGAAGTAGCTGGCCTCTGGAGGAATTCCTACTCCTACCTCCTAATGTGGTATTGGAAAGGGCCCGGCAGATCTGGAGATACTATCTTAGTGAAGGAGGGGTGTAAGCTTTGCAATGTTCTGACGTGGATGTTCTTACATGCTCTCCTCCCTGGCTGCTGTTCTTCTATTACTCTCAAGGGAACGCGTACCCTGGGAAGGACACACCATTTAAGAACAGAATCAGTTGGGCTGGAGATCTTAACAAGAAAGATGCATCTGTCAGCATAGCAAATGTGCAGTTCCGGGACAACGGCACTTACTTCTGCCATGTCAAGAAACCAGCTGACATACTTGTCAAGCCAGGAGAAATCCGACTTAGAGTTGTGCAGAGAGGTACCTCCCCTCACTAACTCTTCTTTTCTTTAGGTGCCATTCTGGGCCTGGGAGAGACTGTTGATTTTATCTCTAGTCTACAAAGCCCCCAGGGCCACTCTCAGGATTTGTTATCAAAGTTAATTTTTAAACACTGACGATACCAGTCTTAACCAGCCACAGTATTCCCTAATCCGAATTTTTCGCATGCCCTAAAGTCTGCAAACAAATCCCATCTCTCTTGCATGACCGTCATAGTCAACAGGCTGCTGAAGGGATGAGGTGGGGTGTGGGCTGGTTGACATCATTCAGGGAAACTAACATTTTGTCTGTCTTTGTGTTGGTGAAATAGATGCTTGGTTCCATGCTGTTTAAATTTCAGATGATGGAAGTCACTCCTCTCCTAACAGGAACTAAACATGCAGGGATTTTGAAGGGGTCTAATGAAGACCTGTGGATTGTCTGTATGTTAAGGCTATTACCGGTCTGAGAGCACAGGACAGTAGAAATCATCAAACTGTTACAACTTCCTAAATAGTTATTACAAGAAACTGTGTCAAAAGTTTAACAGGTTTACAAATCATTTTCATCCAAAATGAAACACTCATCATTACAAACTGAGCTAATCTCTGTTTAGAGAAACATTATGCAGTAATATAATTAAATCTCTCAATTTAGCAGGGTGTTATATTATAGGTGACACAAAGGGGTTTTATGTATCTCTCTGAGCTACTCTAAGGCTTCCATGAACCCACTTCCCCCTTTCAGTTCAAACCACTTCCTAATGTGGGCTTGTGACTTTTGACATGTAAAATTGATGTGGGATGCAACTATTGAATTGATCCTGATGAAATCATGGAGTGAAATCCTTTATTTCATTAAATAAATTAAGGCTGGAAGAAGTCAAGAGTTAGCTTTGCTCTCTAGGTCACAGGAATAAGACAAACTTTGGTTGTGGGGAGTAATTGGAACAAATTGTGAAGTAGGATGGGTGTTTGTTTTCCAACAGCTCATCACTACTTCCGGGATTCAGAATAATTTGTAATGCAAAGCGTTTGTCACAGTTCAAGGCAACTACATCTGTATTTCCCCCCTATGGTCCATCAAAAACATCCACTCTCAGGTTTTCTGGCTCCCTAGCTGTCACCTCGCTTGGGCGGAGACAAGCATCTCACTTCGTCTTGCTGACTAGGGTATTTCCGTGATGCACAGTTCCCTGCCTACACTGTGAATTCCCCAGCAAGTCAGACTGCCTCAGCAGGCCTACTTTGCTTTTCTCCTCAGAGGCTGTAAACAGCTTAAGTGCCCACAGTTATAAGCTGTGACACAGCTTTTTGTAAGCAAGCTTATTTATTCATAAGGTGAAAGCATTACAGAGAAAACACATAAAAACCTCCATGTATGCTAATAAGCTTACCAGAAATCACCCCAATGCTGACAAGGGCTCTGTAGGAGTCAGTCTTTCAAACCCCATCAACGGGTTTTTGTGGTTAAGTTTATAACTTAGCTCAGAACTACCACACACGTGAATCTGAGTCTCTCCTTATACAGGTTAGGCCTCTCAGCCTGTCTTCATGTAACAGGTGTTGAGCAGACTAAGGTCCCCTCCTCAGGGTGAAGTTTCAAAAGGCTGAGTTCTTGCATAACTGGAAGGGGTACATTTACATATACCTCCCCCTAGAAATGCAGTGAACTTTAAAAGTTCATTCTTGTCTGGCACATTGTTTCATATAGTTAGGCCCCTAGCAAATTCACTGTCCATTTTGGTCAATTTCACGGTCACGGGATTTCAAAAATCATAAATTTCATGATTTCAGATATTTAAATCTGAAATTTCACTGTATTTTTAACTGTAGGGGTCCTGACCCAAAAAGGAGTTGGGGGCAGGGGGGACCTCAAGGTTATTGTAGAGGGGTTACAGTATTGCTAAGCTTACTTCTGTGTTGCTGCTGGTGGTGGTGATTCCTTCAGAGCTGTACCATATAGTTCTGCCTGCGAGTGAGCATAATCTCCAAGGGGGTGTGGTTTAGAGACCAGCCTATTGTTGGTAAAGCATAGCCTATGAGAGTGCCAGATATTGGTGCCAAGTTCTACCTCCAGCAGTAGCAGTCCAAGTTCTTTCTTTGTGCCAAAGTTGCTGCATTCCTTGTTGGATTTTACAACATCCAGCTCAAGGGCCAGGCAGGATGGTCTCGTGGGCCATAGCTTGCCCACCTCTGACCTAATTCTATAAGGCATAATGTTACCATTCCCTGGTTCACTTCAGCAGGAGTCCTAAATAAATCATCAACAAAATACATATGAATTGTGTGACATACAACATTACCAAAGCTTTTAACTCCTACAGCATTTCAGGTGAAGGATCTGTTTAACAAGATTTCTTGTTACTGAGCCAGTGATAGATGTGCACAGCCAGTCATACAGACTGGAATCTTTGTCACCCCATCCTTCTCCTCACATCCAAAAGAGTAAGCTTCAGAGTATTTTACAAACGGAGAAGTTGGTAACAGCGACTCTGGTGTGTGTTATTGCCATTAGATCCGAATTTAATCTGAGAGGAAGTTGGATCACCTCACACAACAGGGTTGGAAAACAGCCTATAAATGTCAGTTCTATTAAAGACAGAATATAATATTTTAAACTGAGGCAGCCTCCAGACACTTAGCTATAATGGTGATGAGTTGTGGTTTAAATACACATAGTCAAAACAACGTGGGGCGGTAAGTCTGCTGCATGTATTCAGAGTGAAAGCGAGCCCTGAAGACTGCATATGGCTCAGAGTAAGTTCATCTTCTGTAGAAGTTAGTCTGTAGAGTGCTCTGGAAGTGCCAGTTATTTATTTTCCTACAGAACAACCTTGTTTAAGAGGCCAGGGAAGGCTGGGCATTACTGACTGCCTTGTCATCACAGCCATTGTATCAAACAGAACAACACAGAAACAGCGCTCTAAGGGAGGTGGATTTTCAACAAGAGGTTGTGTCAGAGCTTCCCTTCTCCCCTACATATAATCTAACTACAGGCCAAGAAATACTCCTTTCCTTGGGTCCCTGCTACTAAATGTTTATTCTGAACACACAAGAGATTTTCTGGCAATTCAGTGAAGTGAATACATAGCTGCCGTTCTGTAAGTAGATTTTTCTACTAATGGAGTGGATATTATGATAACAGAAAACAATCCATTGTTCCAAGTCCAAACCGCAGAACAAATCTCCCTTTCAGGCAAAAAGCAAGCAAGAAGCCCTCAACATTTGTGTAGTAAGTAAAATCAGCACTGAGACATTGCTTGCCTGTATAGGGGACAGAGGATTCATTGCTACCAACAGGAAGGAGTAAGCACTGACCTGTTTATTCCAAGAAGCCACTGTTGTACATAAATAGCCCATGGAAGTGTGGTGAAGAAAAGCCTCATCTCCCTCTTTCAGCCCACACTTACTAAGTAGGAGTTTTACTATCAGAGGATCGGTTGTACACCTGGACATTAATAATCTTTCACTCCTGGAACAGAAGCCAGGTTTCCCAATTAGTTCATAATGGACTTTGTCTCCTCAGGTCCAAACTAAGATTCCTAGTTGACCACATCACAAAGCCACCCCACAATGGATAGTTTATTCTCACTAGCCACAGACCCGGATGCTTTGATAGAACCGTGTTAAGGCCAGGAGGAGGTAGTAACCCCCTGAATTACATAAACAGCCAGCCGGCACTAGTGCATACAATACAGCATAGTCTCCAAAGTTGTAACCTCACTAAGAACAGAATCAGTTGGGCTGGAGACCTTAACAAGAAAGATGCATCTGTCAGCATAGCAAATGTGTAGTTCCGGGACAATGGCACTTACTTCTGCGATGTCAAGAACCCACCTGACATAGTTTTCATACCAGTAGAAATCCGACTTAGAGTTGTGCAGAGAGGTACCTCCCCTCACTAACTCTTCTTTTCTTTAGATGCCATTCTGGGCCTGGGAGAGACTTGATTTTATCTGTAGTCTCCAAAGCCCCAAGGGCCACTCCAGGATTTGTTATCAAAGTTAATTTTTAAACTCTGAAGATACCAGTCTTAACCACTTTTTCTTACTCCATCAACAGTGTGATGTTGCACTCTATAGGATTTTATAAAAATATGCTTATGAGTGTGAATATAATGTACCTGGAATATGCTTCATGCAAAAGGTCTCTTGTAAGGTATTATT